CCTTCAATGCTGAATTGCATTTCACTTACTACTTTGCTGATTACGGGAAGGTTTTTGATTCAGATTATTTCTTTACAGTAAAAGTCTTATTTAAATCCATTCAGACGTATTGGAGTAATACGCGATGAAACAGACATACAGAAATCGAAAAAAAATTGATTTGCCTTCTCTGACATTTAATAGTTTGAAGTAGAACCCTGTACGTTTTTTTTAATAAAAAATGATGATTCTTTAAATTGACGTAACTTTTTTATTTATGAACCGATTGAAATAAAACAAATACTAAATGTTAACTGAAGCTTACCACAATATATTAGTGAAAACCACATCCAAATCGAATAAGCCGTTTCGCGCATATTAGCGCACTTTTTAGTATTTCAATAAGATTTTCCAAAAATGTTAAATGTACAGATTCGACTCAGAATTTTATTATTTAGATAGATAATATATAAATAGGCAGAGACAAAATAGTTCAGTACCTTTTTCTCCTGTTTTTATTCGATATTCTTTTTTAGGGTTTCGTACCTCAAAAGGTAAAAAAGTATCCATTATAAGATCACTCTCTTGCCCGTCTGTCTGTCTGTCCGTGTATCACCACCGATTTTCTAAGGAACGGGTGGACCAAGCAAGTTGAAATTTATACTAGATACTGAGGTCTATAGTTCCTATTAGGCGTATAAAAATCAAGGTCCTGCGTCAACACAATAAAAAGATATAGGCTAGATTTCCGCGAAAACTTGTAAGTACCATTTACCTTAATTTTCAACTTGTTTTATTTTTCGGAGTTTTCCCTTTACTTGTGCTGTAAGACTTTGCTTTTAACCAAAATTGACAATTCTAGGTCAACCGGAAGAACCCTATAGGTGTTGAGTTGAAAACCTATATGGTAGTTCCCGTTGACCTAGAATCACGAAATTTGGCAAAAGCAAGGTCTTACAGGCAAGGTCTAAGGTCTAAGGCAGTGGTAGCCCAGTGGTAACGCGCTCGCTTGGGAAAACGAGTGAAGCGGGTTCAAATCCCGGGTCTCGCACCTCTGATATTTTCATGTGCGAATTATTTCTAACATGATTACCACTTGCCTTACGGTGAAGAAAAAACATCGTGAGGAAACCTGCATGTCTGAGAGAACCTAGCAAGTATTCGAAAGACATGTGCAATCCGCCAACCCGCACTTGGCCAGCGTGGTGGAGTATGGCCTGATCCCCCTCGTATTGAAGGGCGGCCCACCCCCAGCAGTAGGACGTTAAAAAGGGCTGAATACACAAGGTCTTACAGCAGAAATAAAGGAAAAAATCCAAAAAATAAAAAAAGTTCAAAATTAAAGTTAAATTTATTTCCTAAAAATTTGTACGGAACCTTCGGTGGGCGAGTCCGACCCGCACTTGTCCGTATTTTTTTTTTCTTAGTATTTAATCACGAGCTTTAGCATTATAAATAAAAAAATGGAAACAGTTTTTTTTATATACTCGTACATAGGTAAATTCTATTTATATATGTTTTCCTCACAATAACGATTATAGTCGAATTTCGAGTTTGCTTTGTACAATCCTAAGTAAATTGGCTAAAAGCACATAACTAGATACGGTAATGTCAATATGTTAAAGCCCTGACAATAATTATAATGCCGATCTTGTGTTAATTTTGCCTCAATTATCTCGTACATGTTCAAAGTGCTACAGCTCTCTCAGGCGTCATCTAACATAATGTACTGGAGTTTAATATGAGGGTGTATACTAGTAATCAAAGCTAATTTAATCATTAGTCTGTACATTTCAATGGGAAATGTGAGTAAATAAACATTAAGCATGATATTTGGTTAATGGCTGGCATTATCACTTCAAGTCCGAAGGTCTTCCATCTCGATGTGTTGCTCATTAGCGTCGGCAACTCAGCCAGGTACGAAGCCAAGAGATACACAGGAAAGTGGCCCACTTTGGTTGGCGGTGTGTCTTGCAGGTAGCTCCTGGTACTCCTCTGATAGCACTATGGACTATGGGAGCAACCCCTTGCTTACATGGTCTGCTTCGGCAGGCCTGCCATCGGGGCATTGTAATTGAGTGAGTAAGCGATCCTGTGATGCTCCATTAAGACGGGGGAGGTTCTGTTGGGTTTTAGTGGGTAGTACTGGCTTTTCTAGCCACTGAGTTCTACACAACTGTCTGTATGTGTACAGGTGGTATGCGTAAATGCATTTCCCAACATTGAAAAGAAGGGTCCAAAGGTTTTGGGTTCGTATGCTATTATATATTTTTTTAAAAGCTATATAAATATATAGTTTTTTTAAGCACACTAATTTCTGAACTAGGCTGAGCTTGTATCTTAGAATTAGAATGATTATTGTTTGTTACGTGACGTGCGTGAGTCTCTACTCACCATCAAATGTTTTTAAGATGTCAAAAATATTAGAATCTCTCGTCTCCTTCTTCTCGTGTCGATGGCAAGTTTTAAATTGAGTCAGCCCAAAACTCAGCCACGATTGTTCCTTTATCAGTGGCATCCATATCTCTCGTGTACAAGTTTATAAAGCATTTGAAAATTCGGAAACAAAAAATTAAAAAATACAAATACAGGAAGAAAATCCGAAACGATATTTTTTTAAATGTCGCGGAACTCTAGGAATATCCAAATAGTAGCTGGATAAAGCTGTGATCGAACTTTTAAATGAAACTATGTTTTCGGATTTTGTTGCAGTTTATTTTGTATTTTTGTTGCCGACTATCGAATGCTTTACAAAACATGTTCACGAGATGATGTACAAAACATGGATAAGGGCGCGACTAATGTTTTTGTTTGTATCAATAGGGAAAATGCGTGCGATTTAAATAAAGATGAAATATTTTTAACCGACTTCCAAAAACGAGGAGGTTCTCAATTCGTCGGAATCTTTTTTTTTATTTGTATGTTCACCGATTTCTCGAAGACGCCTCAACCGATTTGAATTTTTTTTATTTTGTTTGAAAGGGTATACTTTCCAGGTGGTCCCATATAAATTTTATCGAAATCAGTCGAGCGGTTTTTAAAAAAATCAACAATAAATATTTTTTTTAAACAAATTATTTAATCGAATATGTTATTAAAAACTTTCTTGTTACAAATTACCTGCTTATTACGTCTACACTAAAAATATAAAAATAAAAACTTAAAAAAAAAACTGATTTCCAGGCACTAAAATGTAAAAAATAACTAAACGGGGGTATTCATTTAGAATAATAATACCTAATCAGATATTTTCGAAGTCGGTGCCGGTGGTGGATCTACTGAACCAATTTAAATGAAATTTAGAAAGAAGATAGTTTGAGACCCTGGAAAGCACATAGGATACTTTTAATCCTTAAAGTCATCCCTTAAGGGAATGAAAATGGGAATGAAAGTTTGTATGGGGAAGCAATCGCTAGTATACCGTAAAACGCACTGCGATTCAAAATTTAATATTAAACACGAACGTTTAAGTTTTGAAAGCTCTATTTGTTATTCAAGATTTTAAGAAAGTTTTTGAACCTTAGAGATGCCAAAAAAGGCAAGTGTTGAAAGCTTTCAGGTGCTTTTTGCCTGTTTTTAAATGGACTTATTCATTTTATTTATTTAAATTAAAAATTTAATTTTATTAATATTTTTAATTTTATTAATATTAATAATTTTTTTTCTTTTATAAAAGGCTTGAGGTTTTTTGTTGCTTTATTCTATAATTAGTTTTATTTCACAGCGAAAAAGAATTTGTCTATACATATAATAAAATTGTAACTAAGCCGAATCTGTACATTAAATATTTTTTGGAAAATCTTATTGAAATAGACATTATTATCGACAGAGGCTGAAACTATAGTTTTTAGAATTTCTGTCTGTCTGTCTGTTAAAATAAAAGATTCAAACGCACCATTTTATTTCTTTTTATGTACTTTTTAATAGTTTCAATTTATAGTTGTCTTTTTAAACCAAGAAGTCTTAGGCTCTTTTTAGGTCTTTTTTTTCAGGATATTTTTAGGGCTTTTTAAGACCTAGATTTTTTTTGTAGATTTTTTTGATGTATTTCTTAAGTCTAAAATTTCATCCATCATACATATAAACTTCTAAAGTTGACTCTACAGACAAACACGTAACAGTCATTGTTTTAAAAAAATATTTCATAAAATAAATAAATATGTTGGGACATTAACACAGCACCATCTAGTTCCATGGTAAGCTACGAGGCTTGTGTTATGGATACCAGATAGTTGATACACTACACATATTAACTTTAAATACATACATACATATTATAAATATATATTGGAGTACAAACACTCGTGCTCATCAAACAAATGAATGCCCCCAGCGCGACTTGAACCCCACGACCGCTGGCACAGCAAGTAGGGTCATTACAAACTGAGCCAAACGTGTCGTCAAATGTATAGATGATTTTTCTAGTCTTCTTTAAAAAAAATGGATTAAGTACATATTTTTGCGTCTAAAGGTTTGAAGAAAAATTAAACAATGTTAATTTTTGTCGACTTTAAAGAATCCACTTCAAACATTTGAAAGGTGCTTAATTCTGAAAGAGAACTGGAGCAGTCCTACAGAATTTCAACTAGTTTAGGTGAAAATTTAAATTTGTTCATTTTATTTTCATATTCTCAAGTGTCTCTTTAAATTGACAGTCAAAATCGTAAATTTATGGCGTTTTATAAATGTGCAAAGGAGTTTCAATATATGTATACTAGCAGAATCAGCGGATACGCCCGCGTTCAATCTACACATAAAAATCTTCGTTTCATTACGGTTCGTTCCTAGCTTGCTTCCCTATACAAACTTTCATCCTCTTTCTCACCCTTTAAGGGATGATTTCCGGGATAAAAAGTATCCTATTTCCTTCCCAGTATCTCAAACTATCTCCTTACCAAATTACATCTAAATCGGTTCGGTAGATCCAGAGATTACCCCCTACAACGTCACAAATTCACAAACTTTACCTCTTTATAATATTAGTAAAGATATACAATACTAATCCTATATTCTTTTTTCAGCCTGCACACAAATAAAGTCTGGTGCAATAGCTATATTTAGTAGCGCAGGACCACTTCTCGGGTCTACTTTGACAGCCATGTGTCGATCTCTGCACGCACCACATTTGACAGTGTCGCCGCACTTTGACGATGGTAAGTATATTAGTATATACATATAATAAAATTCTAAGTCAAATCTGCACATTAAATATCTTTTGGAGATTCTTATTGAAATAGACATTATTATCGATACAGAGGCCGAATCTATAGTTTTTAGAATTTTTGTCTGTCTGTCAGTCTGTTACCGCATCACAGAAAAACCACTGGAGGGATTTTGATGAAATTTGGCATGGTGATAGCTGGTTGTACGGGTCAACATATAGGATACTTTTTACTGCGGGAAATATCTCATATCTGAGAAATCTATACTGAACGTTAAAATGTAATTAATAAGTTATTATTAAATAAAACTATCTTTTCGGATTATTTCGCGGATTTATTTTGATTTTTGGTTCCCGACGTTTCGAATGCTTTACAGCATCCATGGTCACGGGAGAGACTCTAAATTATATATATTTGTGTGTCTCTCCCGTGACCATGGATGCTGTAAAGCATTCGAAACGTCGGGAACCAAAAATCAAAATAAATCCGCGAAATAATCCGAAAAGATAGTTTTATTTAATAATGTCAAACATTCGCGTAAATCTAAGAAAGTATCATATTAATAAGTTATTGTAAATTGAGTTTTAAGTGATAAACTCGGTTATAATAAAACACTGCCGGTACTGTTAATCATCTATTTATTCACAGTTTTTAATTTACAATAATCAGGAGCCAATTATGCTTGACAAAATCGGAACGAAGAGTGACCCCTTTGGCGACATCATGGCTTTTTATAATACTCGTTTTATGTCAAAACAGCAACTAAAGTGTCAAGCATAGTTTTTACAAAATCCAATTGAAATATTTATTAAAATAGAAATTTAATTTAAGCTAACATTAAAATATAAAATTAAGCTAACATAAAGTAGCGTTTTAAAAACAATATAATTTTGTGCATTTTTATGTAATGTTGAAGTAAAAAGCTTCAAAATAACATAGATATATGATAACAGTAATTCAGTAAGAGAATCTCGTAGGATAAAACTTATCCTAAAATTTGTTTTTTTATTAAATTTTGTTGAAACTTTTTTATGTAATATAACACGGCTGTGGAATTGAATATAAATATCTTATTAATACAATGAGACGTGCTTCGTATTTTTGTAAACTCCACTCGAAATTTGTGTGACACTAAATTATGGAGGAAATCAATACTAATATTATAAATGTGAAAGTGTTTGTTTGTTTGTTTGTCTTTCTTTCACGTCGAAACGGCTTGGCGGATTGGCATGATTTTTTGTGTGGAGGTAGATAGTCCGCGGGAATTTATTACTTTCCCACGGGAAAACACGTTATAATACAATTTAAGAAAATATTTATGATTAGAATTACTAGAAACTTGGTATAAATGCTCTTCAATTAAATACGTGTTTTAGCATTTTTCGAAATTGCATCCCATAAGTGGGTAAAATAGCAGATGAAAGTTTATATGAAACCTACCATTTTAAAGATTTTTTTGTAGTTTTAGCGCGAGCAAAGCCGCGGGTTCTGCTAGTTACTTATAAATACTCGTATTAAAAAAACTACCGTTTTCGTGGCGCGTTTCCTTTAATTTTGCGGAATGACCCTTTGGAAAAATCTACTCTCTCGGCAAATGAAAATTTGGTATCATAATTTTTGATATGAGAAATTAAAAAAAAAAACTTAATTACAAAATGAAAAAAAAAATATCTTGATCTTCACAACAGCGCCCTCTACCGGGTCCAATTATAGCTAAGAACTATCTAGGTGACCCCATATAGAAAAAAATGACATCATAATCAGTCAAGTCGTTTAAACCCACCAGGGTTTTATATATAAAGAGAGGTAAAACTATTCTTTACCGATTCTCGTGTTATAATATTTTAAGTATGTTTAACGCATTTTAATAAGTTTTACTTGTAATTAGCAATGTAATTAAATCTTGGAAGTCAATATCAACATGCTTCTAATTGTATCGAAATGATACTTTGTATATCTATACATCTGTACATATAATAAAACTAGCATTGCCCGCGGCTTCGCCCGCGTTCAGATGACCAAAAACCAAATTCTTAGGTTTTACATATTAGTATACTCTTACATTGCAGTTTTTGTATATTTTCTCAGAAATGAGATATTTTCCCGCGATAAAAAGTATCCTATATGTTGATCCGGATAACCAGCTATCACCATACCAAATTTCATCAAAATCCCTCCAGTGATTTTTTCTGTGATACGGTAACAGACAAAAGTTGTAAAAACTATACATTCGTCCTCTGTATCGATAATAACAACTATTTCAATAAGATTTTCCAATAAATATTAAATGTACAATTTCGGCTTATATACAATCAATACATATAATAAAATTATAACTTATTGAAATAGACATTATTATCGATACAGCGAATCTATAGTATTTAGAATTTTTATCAACACAGAAAACATGGTCAACAAAATGAACCACGAAAAAATCAGTGAAAATATTATTATAATGCGCTTGGAAAATATTGCTGTCGATCCTTCGGTATTTATGTTTTACGAGTACAATTAGTCGGTTTTTTCGACATCCGCGTCTAAAAATGGGGGTGCCATTCTGTACCGGAAGCCAGAGCTTTTTTGAGTAATTTATCTGGCTTTTCTTATATAATTTTTGGACGTAATTTATATATAACCTTCTCCGAGTCATTTAATTGGATGTGGTTATAATTATAATAACATTTATCAAACGCACTCATTTGCTATCAATATTTATTGATTTAGTGATGTGATTGAGTGTGCTGATGAATTTGTCAATCAGACTAATGAGAACTTAGTCAGATAAATGAGATTTTGCAGACATATGTATTAATTAGATTGCTGCAGATAAATTATAATTTCATATTATCAACTTTGTTGTCATATTGTATTTATATTTTCAGCTCTCAACAGTACAGACTCTTTCACAATCAACTTGAACCCCTCCCGCACTCTCATGGACCAGGCCTTTACAGATCTCACATCTTTCCTAAATTGGACCAGAATGGGCATAATTTATGAGGATTACGGTTTTGGTAAGTGACATGACATAATGTTTTTTTTAATTTTATTAGATAATCAAAATAACAGAGTGTTCAGCCTATGTCATAGATATAAAATATTAGAGATTCGCCCTCGCTTCGCTCGGGTTCGTCCCTAGCTTGCTTCCCCATACAAACTTTCATCCCCATTCTCACCCCCTTAAGGGATGATTTCCGGGATAAAAACTATTTCAGTCACTCACTTTTTATATGAGAAGAGATTAAAAAAATTTTTTTAGTAAAAAGAAAAAATTCTTTTCATTTTCTTCTACACAAAACTTCCTGACAATAAAAAACACAAAAAAAAAATAATTATTATCTAATTATATTTAAAGAATTTGGTGCAGTCGATCCGAAGTTATACGCGTACATACATTGCGGTGATTTATTTTTATTTACATAGATTAACATATAAATAAAATATAGATATGTATATATGAATAGAATTTACCTATCTATATAAAAAACCTGTTTCTAAAATTTTTTGATAACGTTAAAACTCTTTAATAGCTGCTAACAAAAAATAAGAAATATGGTTGACGAACAGAGGACTGTTATGTCTTTGCCTATTTATATATTATATAGATAATGAATATTCATTATGGATCTGCGTGCCACAATAAGTTGCAGTTAAAATGATAAGTTTATATAAAATTTAAAATTTAAAAAAAACCTCGACTTTCTTGGACCAATATTTATCAAACTTAGCTAAGAACACTCCCGACTAATCCTTTCAAACAAAAAAAAAACTAAATCACGATCGGTTTATCCGTTCGGGAGTTACGATGCCACATACAGACACACAGACACGTCAAACTTAAATCAGTTATGTTTTTAGTATGTTTTTTACGTAACGTACATTTTTATATTACAATTGTAATAAACTACTAAATACTGTTGTTTATTTATTAAGTATATTTTTGTCTACTCTAATATATGTATGTAATATGTCTAAGTAAAACAAAAATTTGGTCTGTAAATAAATATAAATATTATGTTGGTACATTAACACACAGCGCCATCTAGTTCCATGGTAAGCTACGAGGTTTGTGTTATGGATACCAGATAGTTGATACACTACACATATATAACTTTAAATACTACATATTATAAATATAAACACCCATGACTGGAGTACAAACATTCGTGCTCAACATACAAATGAATGCTCTCAGCGGGACTCGAACCAGCGACCGCTGGCACAGCAAGTAGGGTAACTACAAATTGAACCAAACGTGTCGTAAATCTTTTGATTGTGAGATTCTAAATATTTGTTTGCGAATAAAAAAATAAATTTTAGAATAATTTTATGTGTTTTTTTTTGTTTTTGATTAATTTGATTTTAACTGTATTCCAAAAAGGAGGATGAGCGAGTTCGAAAATTAGATAAAGAAGATTAGGTCTATAAATGAAAACCCTCGTTCGGTTTTTTTCTTTATGGTATCGGGGAGTCAGTTTTTGTTTTTTTTTTTAAATGTATGGACATAGATGGAAGGCAGGGTGCTCCATACGTATCCCCCCCAACGTGCGTTCACCTTGTCGTGGTGGGGGGGCTCAGTAGTGCCCGGCAACCCAACCGGGCGCGAAGCTAAGAAACGCACAGGGAGGTTGCCCACTTCGGTGGGCGGTGGAAGGTGGCCCTCTTCGGAGGGCGGTGTACCATGCGGGTTGCTCCTGGTACTTCTCTGATAGCAGAGTGGACCTTGGAGCAACCCCATGGTTGTGGTGGTCTGCTTCGGCAGACCTGCCGTCGGGGCGTCGTAGTTGAATGCGTAAGCGATCCTGCGACGCCCCATTAAGACGGGGGAAGGTTTTGTTGGGTTTTAGTGGGTAGTACCGGCTGTATTACGCCGGTAAGTCCCACACGTCGTGCGTAAACGCATTTCCCAACGTTAAAAAAAAAAAAAAGGGTGCTCCATACGTATGTCACTTCTTAAGCTAACGACAAAACACATTATCTATCTATACTATAATAAAACAGTAGAGGTCGAATGTCTGTACATAGCAAAAAAATGCTAAAAACCGAGTCAGGGGGATGTAAGAAGACAAATAAAACAAATCCAGATTTTTTTCAATTTTTTTGTTTCTCTGTCTGTTTGTCTGTTTGTACGGGCTAATCTCCGAATCTATTGGACCGATTTAAATGCAATTTTGCATGGTGGTACCTCATATCCCCGGGCAACATCTTAGATACCCCGTATTATCCCGTAAAATTAAATAGTTCCCGTGGGATAGTTAAAAAAATATAATATAATATATATATATATATATAATATATATATATATATATATATATATATATATTATATTATGCGCCTAATTTAGTAAAATTTGGCATGCTGATACCTTATATTGCCGATCAAACAAAATGTTACTTTTCATCCCGGAAAAATGAACGGTCCCCATGGGATAGATCTGTTTGAGCTTTTCTAAAGGAGAACCCGAGCGAAGAGAGGGTGAGCCACTAGTAATATAATATAACCGATTAAGCAATATTGGGTACATAATTTTATAAACGTACCTAGGTAGTGAAAAGTAATAATTAAAATATGTTAATTATTATTTACTGGTTATTTCTATTGATTTTAAACTGATATATCGCTATTTAACTGATACGAGAAGTATCTTGTGCTCCAATTTACCAAAAAATATTCCGGACAAGTGCGAGTTGGACTCGGAGTGTTCCGCACAAATTTGTAGGAAATCTGTTTAACATTAATTTTCAACTTGCTTTTTGCCAAATTTCGTGATTCTAGGTCAACGGGAAGTACCATTTCCCATTGCCCATATCTTTTTATTGTGTTGACTCAGGGTCTTGATTTTTATACACCTAATAGGGACTATAGACCTCAATACCTGGTATAAATTTCAACTTACTAGGTCTACCCGTTCCGATTCCATTTTTTACTTTTTGAGGTACGGAACTCTAAAAATATAGGAACACAACCGTTTTAAATATACCTACACACATACAAACACACACAATTTAATACTAACTGTGTATGATAATTATTTGCAGGTGAATTAAATATTGTTCGTCTAGCGCGTGATGGTCGGGATATGTACGCGGTGCGATGCGAAACGCGCGACTACAGACGTGCGCTTGCGCAGCTCAAAGCGCAAGGGATCAAACACATCATTGTTGATACAGATCCTAAACACTTGCGGATGCTGTCTAGAGCTGTAAGTTCAATTTGGATATTGATAATTAATTATTGTCTCTTTTAATACTTTCTTAGATGTACGCGAATATTTTAAATAAAACTATCTTTTCTTCTGAAACTATCTTTTTTCTATCTAAACTATTTTTATTTTATTTTTATTGATTTTTGGTTCCCGACGTGACTTTTCCGTGACCATGATTGCTGTAAAGCATTCGAAACGTCGGGAACCAAAAATCTAAATAAATCGGCGAAATAATCCGAAAAATAGTTTTATTTAAAATACTAGCGACTCACCCTCGTATCGCTCTGGTTATTCCTTAGCTTGATTCCCCATACAAACTTTCATCCCCATTTTCACCCCCTTAAGGGATAATTTCCGGGGTAAAAGTAACCTATGTGCTTCCCAGGGTCTCAAACTATCTCCTTACCAAATTTCAGCTAAATCGGTTCAGTAGATCCAGGGATTATACCCTACAACGTCACAAACTCACAAAATCACAAACTCACAAAATCACAAACTCACAAACTTTACCTCTTTGTAATATTAGTATAGATTATCTTTTTTGTAAGATTTTTCTGCTATCCGGGATTCAAAATATTTGGATTATATATTACCTTTAGCTGATAATATTTACTGCAATAAGTTTTGTGAATCACTTGTTGAAGTCGATGTTTGAATCTAAAGGTTTTTTTTAAGGTTTTAATACAAATAGAGTAAAAAGAGTTTTTGGTAACTTTTTAATATTATAATGTCATGTGGCTATTTTTCATTGTAAGAATTATACCAAAAGCTGGAAATTTTATTGCTATTAAAATGTCTAATTTTTCAGATTTTGCAGCTACAGATGAATAATGAAGAGTATCATTATATTTTTACATCTTTTGTGAGTATTTTAAAATCTAATTGATTATATTTTTTGTTCTATCAGTGATTTAACATCGTGTCGCTAGGTGGCGTCCCTAAGATTTTTTATATTTATTATATTACTAGCATTGCCCGCGGCTCCACCCACGTTCGATGACCAAAAACTAAATTCTTAGGTTTTACATATTAGTATACTCTTACATTGCAGTTTTTATATTTTTTCTCAGTAATGAGATATTTTCCCGTGGTAAAAAGTAAGTTTACCCGGATAACCAGCTATCATCGTACCAAATTTCATCAAAATCTGTCCAGTGGTTTTCTCGTGATGCGGTAAAAGATATACAGACAGCCAAAATTCTAAAAACTATAGATTCGGATTCTGTATCGATAATAATGTCTATTTCAATAAGATTTTCCAAAAAATATTTAAAGTACAGATTCGGCTTAGTTACAATTTTATTATATGTATAGATATTTAGGTATCACCATTTTTTGGTTATTTTTATTCTCAAATAAAAAATGTGGAAAAAATAAATATACCCTATATTTTAAGTGATGCTTATATCCATATAAATGAAAATGAATCAGCTATTTTTTTTATTCAAATATTCGCTAAAGTCCGAGAAAGGTTCTTATGAAGAGAAAAATCGGAAAAAATGCCCGGAAAGACGTCAAAAGACAATTTTTCTAATTGGGCCTGTTACACGCTTGATTTGACAGAACATGATCTGTCAGATCAGTTGATTTTTAATGAAAATCTAAAAAGGTCATTTTATAAAGTTTTAATTCACACTATGAATAAATAGAAAATATTGTTTTGCAAAACTTGCAAATGCTTATTAAAAAAATATTTGCCTTCATACTTCCAGTTAGGCTATAGCCTACCTAGATATACCTAGACTATTCTTTCAACGACTTATTTCAGGATATGGAGCTGTTTGATCTTGAAGATTTCTTCTACAACCGTGTCAACATGAGTGGTTGGAGATTGGTCGATCGTAATTCAGATAAAGTGAAAGACGCTTTGCAGGTGATGGAAAAGTTCCATCCTATTGGCGCCTCCATCCTCAGCGGTGGGCATATAAAGGTGTGTTGCAAATTATTCTATATCAATATTATAAAGGCTGGGCTTAGGTCACAGCCTACCTGTAGCCCAGTGGTAACGCGCTCGCTCGGAAAACCGATTGAAGTGGGTTCAGGTCCGGGGTCGTGCACTTCTGATATTTTGATTGCCGATAATTTTCAACATGATTACCACTTACTTTACGGTGGAGGAATACATCGTGAGCAAACCTGTATGTTTGAGAAACCGCCAATAAAAAGTCCGCCAACCCGCACTTGGCCAGCGCGGTGAACTATGGCCTGATCCCCCTCGTATTGAAGGCAGGCCTACCCCTAGCAGTGGGACGTTAAAAATACAATACTTGATGAATACAATATTTTAAAAGCTTTATTTAAGAAGCTGTCTTTGGCAATCCATCGCCATGTTTTTATTTTAAAAGTAGTGACGCACGGTGAATTTGATATGAATGAATTGAAAACAGTCTTAAACAAATAATATGGACAATATGATGCTCTAAGATGTCACGTTTCTGAGATATTTTAAGGCAAAGATCCCTTATATATGAGAACTATGGAACTTACGGCGGACTTTACCTTTAAATATCTTAGAAAAGTGTAATTTTATTCTTTAGGGCATTTTTTAATTATATAAGTATATTCTATCCTTATACATATATACTCGTTTCATTATTTCGGTTTTTTTTCACGGATTTTATTTTGATTTTTGGTTCCGAATCTAGATCTTGTTGAAGTTTGGTTTAGAATCCAAAAAGAGAAAAGATAGTTTTATTTAAAATGTCAAATATTCGCGTTAATCTAAGAAAGTATTATCTATTTAGCTATAAATTATGGGTTTCAGACTGAACCAGCCCTATTATACGACGCAGTTCAAGTACTTGCTTTGGCTCTAGCTTCCACAAAGGATGTGCACTCTTCTAACGTATCGTGTGAGAGCGAGACGCATATATCACATGGGAAAATTCTTTTGGAGAACATCAATAAGGTACGTGTACGGCATAGAAGCACCAGGATATTTTAGGTATAGATTTTTTTTCAAATTGGTAAAATAAATAACACCAAAGAAAAAAAAAGAAAAAAATTATAAAATTTTGATTGATAAATTTTTTTCCCACCTCTTACTTAGTTTTAAACATCTGTTCTGGCCATATAATCATTAAATGAATATATTTTTATTTTTATGTTGTGTAGTGCCTGAATGTAAATTAATCTATTTTGATTTTGTAATATTAATATAGTTTATTTTTTATATACGAGTATAAGTTATTTATAAGTTTATAAGTTATTTATTATTATATAAGTTATAATATATAAGTTTATTATATAATAATTTGAGAGTTCGTTATATTAATGTCGAGTATAACATTTTCTAGTTGTTAATCATGTAGGAATAATTATTGTTTTTCAGTATAGTAAACAAATATTTTTAAAGTGTTTGTGCTCGTGCTCGTTTCAGCAGAACTATTTTCCGAGCCAGTGATAACTTCCTCGCGGTCTTACAATACTGATATTTAAATGTTTCGATGGATGGATGTTTGTTACTCAATTACGTTAGAACGGCTGAACGCCTCGAGATGAAATTTGGCACAGTGATAGATTATAGTCTAGAATAGCACATTTTTTATCCCGGAAAAATGTACGGTTCCCGTGGGATAGATTTGTTTTTGTTTTTCACTAGGGACGAGCACGAGCGAAACGAGGGTGAGTCGCTAGTTTACTAATGTGATTGATTCAAAAGTGTATGTTCTAAAATCAGTTTGAATTATACTAATTTCTTACACTCATAAAAATATAGAACGTATAGGAATTACTAAATAAACACCTTTACAATCTATTAGGTCCAAGCCCATGGCCTTACTGGTCCTATATCCTTCACAAACGGAATCCGCACCACCTTCCACCTCCAGCTGATGAGACTGTCTGGGGGTGAAGATGGCGGTGTAATACTCGCTGGTACATGGGCGCCTGACCAGGGACTCGAAGTCACTGACCCCGCGGCTTACAGGCGAAACCCACCGCCTAATGTCACCTTGACAGTTGTTACTGTTGAAGTAAGTTTGAAATGTAATATTATTTAATAGTATTTTTTTTTTCTTTAATACAAAAAAAAATATTTTTTTTTAAATTGGCGCCCAAATAGGGTCCAGAAGTGAAGCCCGTTTGGACGTCAACATTAAAATTTCTTAGTATGATTTATAATATTATATAATAATAATTTTATTTGAATTGTAATGAAATCTCATTATTGGGCTTTTAACATATTATTTTATAATTATATATGCATTTGTAACCAATTTTCTAATTACTTTTATCAAATTCATAAAACAAATTATAGTTGAAATTATTTTAATCAAAAAACCAACCACAAAACAAAAAAATGATATTTACTAAATACACGTAACAAGATAATCAAATACAAAATGAATTTTTTTTTGTAATCTGCACAGGAAAAGCCTTATGTAATGGTGAAAGAAGGCTGGAATCTTCAAGGAAATGCTAGGTTCGAGGGGTTTTGTATAGACTTGCTGGCTCGCGTGGCGGCGCGGGCGGGCTTCCACTACACACTGAGATTGGTTCCTGATAATATGTACGGAGCTTGGGACCCCGAGACTGGGCAGTGGAATGGGATTGTGAAGGAGCTTATGGATAGGGTGAGAGTATTATAATAACGTCCTACAGACAGATTTCGGCCCTGACAACTAATCTTACTAGCAGTGCCGGATTCACCCTTAGTGCCGCCCCTGGGCATTAAAAACGCCGCCATATCATAAAAATTTTGCATAAAATGGGTAAAGTTTCGATATATTTTTTTTTTAATTATAAATTTATTGGAAAACACAAAAAAAATTATAAATCATATCAATTTTTCAAAATATGTACTTACTACTACTAGGTAATTATTTTTTTAAATATTCATTTTTTGGAAAATAAAAAAAGCATTTTCGATAACGCGAAGACAATTTTTTCCCGCCCTCCGAATTTTGCCGCCCCTAAAAATTTGTCGCCCTGGACATTAGCCCCAAGTGCCCCTCGAATCCAAAGCTGCTTACTAGAAGTAACGATGTTCGCAGGATATTATCTATACTATATATATGTAAGCTAATATTATAAAGAGGAAAGATTTTTTGTTTGTTTGTTTGTACCGAATAATCTCCGAAATTACTGAACCAATTTAGATAAAATTTGGTAAGAACATAGTTTGAGACCCTCGGTAGGACATAAGAAATAGTTTAATCCAAAAATCATCCCTTAAGGGGGTGAAAATATATGAAATAATGAATAAATGTATGTGTAAACACAAGTACACTGTCTATTTCATTACTATCAAACTCTGGTGGGACAATAATTTATTATGAACACTGACCAGTGAGAGATAGGATTAGTATAGTAATAACACTTAAGTGTTACCCAAAATTTCGTAAATAAATCGTCATTTGCTCCATAAAAAAATCATACAGAGTTCAAGTATAGTTATGGGGTCGTATTAAAAAATATATCTATATAAATATATAACCTAACTTACGAAAAAAATTATACGGCGTGCTTTTTACATTAACCAGATGAGCGAAGGACGACTTTACTTCGGATCCTGTACTATAAATTTCCATTCAATAACTTGATCATTTATACTTATGATATTAACTATCCAGCTTAAATTTAATATGAAAAATGTTTTTTACAGAACGCTGATATAGCAGTAGCATCTATGACCATAAACTACGCGCGGGAAGCGGTCATAGACTTCACGAAACCTTTCATGAACTTAGGCATCGGAATCTTATTCAAGGTATATTTTTATTAGCTTGTGTCCGTAGCGATGCTCGGATATATGTATGTATGTATGTATTTAGTCCGTTTTAACGTCCCACTGCTGGGCGTGGGCCTCCCTTCAATACGAGGGGGATCAGGCTGTAGCCCACGCTGGCCAAGTGCGAGACGGACTGAGCATGTCTTTCGAGAACTTCTTAGGTTCTCCCAGACATACAGGTTTCCTCACGATGTTATTGAAATTAATTTAATTGTTATAACATATATTAATAATATGCTATTTTCATATATTCTATTTTTTAACGATTATAGAATTACATTTTCTAAGCTTGACTGGTAGTTCCACAGATTAGCAAAATCAAACGAACTAAAAAAATACCTGTCCATCTTTATAATTATTGAATTGTATATATTATATTATATGGTACATATGTATTAACCATATTAATTTACTTTACGTATAGAATAACTAATATTATAAATGTGAAATTTTTTGAGGATGACTGTAGCTCTACCTTTTGTAAACATTTCTTACTACCGAAATCTATATATTACTCTAAATGAAAATCTATCTGTATACTAAACTTACCCAAATCTGTCCAGCCGTTTCCGATTAAAGTAGTAACAAACAAACACACACATATTAGTACAAACTGTCGTATTTATAATAGTAGTCTGATTTACAGGTGCCCTCGTCACAGCCAACGAGACTCTTCAGCTTCCTCAATCCCCTTGCAATAGAAATCTGGCTGTACGTGCTCGCCGCGTACGTGCTGGTGTCCTTCACGTTGTTTGTGATGGCGCGTTTTTCTCCTTATGAATGGTAAGTATTTAATATTCATATATAAATGTTTATTTGTCTTTGTGATTGTATTTGTTAGTGTAAGCAATAAAGAAATACCTATCATCTATATACTATACTAACGACACACCCTCGCTTTGCTCGGGTTCGTCCCTAGCTTGCTTTTCAATACAAACTTTCATCCCCATTTTCACACCCTTAGGAATGATTTCCGGGATAAAAAGTATCCTATGTCCTTTCCAGGGTCTCAAACTATCTTCTTACCAAATTTCATCTAAATCGGTATTGTAGATCCAGAGATTACCCCCTACAACTTCACAAACTCACAAACTTTACCTCTTTATAATATTAGTATAGCTAGTATTCTGATTTATCTGTATATAATATATTTTTAAGAACAATTTTAGTCTTAAGGTTATGTTTTTCTTTTATGTGCTGTATATAATTTGATATGCATTTAGTAAAAAGCTGTTATTTCGACATTACACACAGACACTTCAATTTTATTTATCTGTATAGATTATAAGTTCTAGAATCTAGTGTGTTAGTCATTTACAGGTGTCCATAGCATTGAAACTAATTTACAAAATATATGACAATTATTTCCAGGTCTTCCAGCACCCATGTTTGTGGGCACGAGACCAAACTCCTGACGAATCAGTTTAGTGTCTGCAACTCCTTCTGGTTCATAACTGGCACCTTCCTGAGACAGGGTTCTGGGTTGAATCCTAAAGTAAGCTCCATTTATTTTGTTCTAAGACATATTTTCTAATCAAAAAATCTATTTCCTTTCCTTTAGAACTCTGTTAGTGTTTTATATTCAAATTGGATGGAATCTTACATAAAGGGCAAAATAATAATAATAATAATGTTTTAAATTCTTAGAAATAGTATTAAAATAGATTAAAGCGAAATATTTCTATATTAACTTAATATACGAATAAATTACAAAAAAACTAAATTTAGACCGCTTTGATAAATAGCTTATTTTTATTATAATATTCGAAACACATACATTTTACTCAGATATTTTTGTTGGGAAGACAGAGAGAGCTTCATTTTGCTGTTGTCTTCTTTTTGCCTACTACAAGGATAAAAGATATTATAGTGCACAATTGTAGGCCCAGTCACAAGTATAATGCGACGACACGTCTGGCTCAGTTTGCAGTGACTCTACTTGCTATGCCAGCGGTCGCGGGTTCGAGTCCCGCTGGGGGCATTTATTTGTGTGATGAGCACGAATGTATGTACTCCAGTCATGTGTATTTATATTTAATATGTATGTATTTATATATGTAGTGTATCAATTGTCTGGTATCCATAATACAAGCCTCATAGCTCATATATATATATATATATATATATATATATATATATATATATATATATATATTATTTTTACTCTCAAGCAATGCTAACTTCCAAACTTCAGGCTGTTACTGAAAATTTTTGACAGGAAACCTTGCTTTAACTACACTTGCCCCCACCCGACACTCGAATATACCAGAAGAATTCTTCCAGGCAACTTCTACCAGGATAGTGGGTGGTATCTGGTGGTTCTTCACGCTCATCATCCTATCCTCATACACAGCCAACTTAGCTGCTTTCCTGACAGTTGAACGCACCGTGTTGCCCATACAAAGCGCGGCGGATCTCGCTGCGCAGAACAGCGTGCAATATGGAACGTTGAACGGAGGTTCTACTATGACGTTCTTTAGAGTAAGTGATGTGTTATAGTTTCAGGAGCAAATATTTTTTTAATTCACTCGATTTTTACGTCGATGATGTTAAACAAGTTAATGTTTTTTAAGGTTCCATAGCCAAAAAACGGAACTCTTATAATTTTTCATATCCATTGGTCTGTATGTCATGGCCATTTTACTCGGAGATCATTTGAGCTATTTTTTTGAAAGGTAAGAAAGAGAAGAAAGGGTCTAATGTGAACTGCTTGGTGTATCTGTCAAATTCCAAAAAAAAAAGAATATAAGGGTAGAAGTCTTTAAAATAGAGATAAGGTGTTTCTAAGTGCTTTTTTTTATTCAAGACGAGTTGCGGAGTTATATGCTAGTAAACTTGTGACCATTCGTATGTCAATATAATAATTTGATACCATCGGGCTGATATAATGACGACCTAAATAGTGTTATTTTTAATGACTATTATTAAAATCGTTAAGTTTGAGTTTATATAATGTTAACAAGTCCTATATGTTAAAGTTAGACTAAAGCTTGTTTTTTTATTATATAAACTTTCATCCCCATTTTCACAACCTTAAGAGATGATTTTTGGGATAAAAATTATTCTATATCCTTCCCAGTGTCTCAATCTATCTTCTTACCAAATTTTATTTAAATTGGTTCAGTAGTTCAAGAGATTACGTTCATATAAACAAACTCACAAACTTTACCTCTTTATAATATTAGCATTGGATAATAATTGCATTAATTTTGTAGGATTCAAACATAGATATCTACCAGAAAATGTGGCAGCACATGTCTTCAGCATCCCCCCCGGCCCTTGTCTCGTCCTACGAGGAGGGAGTGAGGAGAGTGTTAGCAGGAAACTACGCATTCCTCATGGAGTCCACGATGTTAGACCATAGAGTTCAGAGGGACTGTAACTTGACTCAGATTGGTGGACTATTAGACTCTAAGGTGACTGGGTCATACTTGGCAGTTCATTTGTCTTTTTTATAATATCATAACCATTTTTCTATTCTATTTTAACTTTTATAAACGTTTGAAGTTTTCTAACTTGTATTTTAATTTAGCACTAGTTTTTGCGCAGAGCTTTACTCGCGTTGTAGGTACATGAACATAAATAACCCTATTTGAAAAATTAGAATATATGATATTACAAATTCATTGAGTCGTTCGAGAAAAAGCAAGTATGTACACTCATTCACATAGATAAAGATTAATTAATAAAAAATCTTTTTTTTTATTACAGGGTTACGGGATAGCGACCTGGAAGGGTAGTCCTTGGCGGGATAAAATCTCCCTTGCTATCCTGGAACTCCAGGAAAAGGGCGTGATACAAATATTGTATGATAAGTGGTGGAAGAACACAGGAGATGTTTGTAATAGGGATGGAAAGGATAGTAAGGCGAATCCTTTAGGGGTGCAAAATATTGGTGAGTAAAAATTCTCATAAGACCTGTAAATGAACTCATTGAAGCAAAATATCACTCACTAACTGATTGATTGATCACAAATTTCAAAAAATATATTATCTATACGTATAATAAAATTGTAACTAAGCCGAATCTGTACATTAAATATTTTTTGGAAAATCTCATTGCAATAGACGTTATTATCGATACAGAGGCCGAATCTATAGTTTTTTGAATTTTTGTCTGTCTGTTACCGCATCACAGAAAAACCACTGGAGTGCTTTTGATGAAATTTGGTATGATGATAGCTGGTTATCCGGGTCAACATATAGGATACTTTTACCGCGGGAAAATATCTCATTTCTGAGAAAAAATACTTATATTTTATTATATGTATAGATGTATAGATGTAATCTTATTATATTTTTGGCTATATCGTTATGGAATCAGTTCAATTCAATCAGTTAGTGAAAGTGGTTAAACATGGTCAACTAAGTTTTGGGTCACAAAGTTGGTGTGGCAGTAGAGTAAGCTTTCACGTATTTTTTTTAATTTCTCTCGAACACCAACAATACATTTTAAATTAATTCTTAACTAGCGATTTACAAAATTAGTGATTTAAAAACTAATTTTTTTTTGGGCGGAACCCTAATTCTTTTTCTAAAATAAAAGTAGCTAAGTTACTCCTTATAAAATCAGCTATCTGCCAGTGAAAGTCCCGTCAAAATCGGCCCAGCCGTTTTGGAGGTTAGCCGGATTTTTTGTGTTATGCAGTGGCTCGTGAAGATTTTTTTCCAAAATACGCATTTTAAGGGGGAAAAGGGGGACTGAAGTTTGTAAGAAACCTTTTTTTGGAACGGAATATATTTGTCAAATAGCTGAAACGGAGATCTCACTCTCAAGCAACAACCCTACAAGGGTTTCATCGAGAGTGAGAGAGTTAGTTTTTTTTTAATTTTAGCTTTTTAAAAAAACCTTGCCATTTTAAAAGTAGAAAATATAGCTATCTCTATTTATTTATCAATCTCTCTTTTCAGGTGGTGTATTCGTCACTTTGCTGTGTGGACTCGTTCTAGCGATAGTGGTGGCTATTTTAGAGTTCTGTTGGAATACTAAGAAAAACGCTTCACAAGGACGACAGTCCTTATGCAGTGAAATGGGACAGGTTAGAATCATACTATTAATATTATTGTGTAAGAGTTCGTGTGCGTGCACGTGCGTGCGTGTGTGTATGAGTGTGTGAAAAAAAATAATAAAACTACGTGTATTCAGCCCTTTTTAATGTCCCACTGCTGGGGGTGGGCCTCCCTTTAATACGAGGGGGATCAGGCCATAGTCCACCACGCTGGCCGAGTGCGGGCGGACTTCACATGTCTTTCGAAAACTTGCTAAGTTCTCTCAGACATGCAGGTTTCCTCACGATGTTGTTCTTCACCGTAAGGCAAGTGGTAATCATGTTAGAAATGATTCGCACATGAAAATATCAGAGGTGCAAGACCCGGGATTTGAACCCGCTTCACTCGGTTTCCCAAGCGAGGGCGTTACCACTGGGCTACCACTGCTTTAATAAAACATGCAATAAAACTACGTAATAACTTAAAATGAAATATACATAAAATAATAATATTTTACAATTTTCGTATCCAATTATACGATCTGGCAGCCCTGATAATAACTATTAGTAAAATGCTCGATATGGATTTGTTATATTCCAGGAGTTGAGAACAGCTATGAGAGGCGGCTCTTCGCGGACTGTCCTCAGACCTGGTTGTTCCCGGTGTTCCCCCGGGACTCACGTGCCACCGGCACCTTCAAGATATGAGGTTGGCTTAGTATTGTTGTTGGATATTCGATTGAAAAAAAAATCGGGTCAGGAATTTTATGCCCCAGGGCCCATAAATTAGGGTTTGTGCTTAAGGGTTTCTGGTAGAGATCTCTTAAAGAGATAAGTCATCTTTTGTACACATATTATCTGTTTTCACTTGTCCGTTTTATTTTCTAGTAAATAAAAAAAATTAGGTCATGAAATTGTATACAATAAAGTTAGTAGGTGAGTACGTGATGTTTGTTTCTCCCTAAGGCTGAAACGATTAGATGGAATTGAATGAAACTAACACATGATATACTATTTTGTCTGTATATATATATATATACGAGTATATATATAAATATATATATATATAATATATATATATATATATATATATACAAAATAGTACTGGTTTGTTTTGATTTAATATCTAATAACAAAAAAATAAAAACCGACTTCAAACAAAAGCACTAAAAAGTAAAAAATAACTGATTGGTAGTTTTCATTTACTATACATACCTAATCAAATATTTTCGAAATCGGTGCCAGCCCATACAAAGCAAAGCACACCGACTTCGAAAATATTTGATTAGGTATGTATAGTAAATGAAAACTACCAATCAGTTATTTTTTACTTTTTAGTGCTTTTGTTTGAAGTCGGTTTTTATTTTTTTGTTAAAAAGTTTTTATTTTTCTCTTTTTAGTGTAGACAGTAGTAGCAAAGTAAGAATTCTAAAGTGTTAGGCTTGTCAAACCAAACAATATAAGCCCAAACTCAAAGTATCTACTATTAGTCGTTGAAAAGTTCCACCTATCCACCTTCTGGCCTTACCATCAGATCAGGTCAACAATACCGAACCACTGTACTATCAACGGAAATAGAAACACTTGCAAAGTTTCAAGTCAATATGACAATTAGAAGTAGGTTAAATTCATTATTAGCTATTTTTCCACCCTTAGGGGTGGTATTTTTTTTTTTGAAATTTAAATGGGACCAATCTGGAAGTATACCCTTTCAAACAAAACAAAAATTGTTCAAATCGGTTAATAAATGACGAAGTTCTGAGGTAACAAACATAAAAAAAAATACAGTCGAATTGAGAACCTCCTCCTTTTTGAAGTCGGTTGAAAATGACATTACTTCAACCATCTCCTTTGTATAATTGTGTATTTTTGTGAAGTTACTATTACTTAATATATTTTTTCGCTAGTAAATAAATAAACACAACCCCTACCCGCAGACGGACGCGGCGAGCACGGTGGAGCTGAAGGAGCTGCGGTGGTCGTAGCGCGCGGCGCGGCGCGGCGCCTCCGCGCCCGCCACGCCGGCGCCGCGCCGCGCGCCCGCGCGCACCCACGGTCAGTGCATTATATGTATTTACGGCTCCCTTACATAGAATTTCTTTAATCTATACTAATATGACGTCGTAGGGGATAATCTCTGGATCTATTGAACCGATTTAGATGCAATTTAGTAAGAAGATAGTTTGAGACCTTGGGAAGGACATAGAATACTTTTTATTCCGGGAATCATCCCTTAAAGGGATGAAAGTTTGTACTGAGAAGCAAGTTAGGGATAAACCCGAGCGAAGCGAGGGTGAGTCGCTAGTAGCATATAAAATACTAGCAGTACCCGTCCGTGGCTTAGCCCGCGTTCAAACTTCCGTTCGCTACCAAACTTCACAGGGTCACCCGTTGGGCTAATCTGAAATAACTTTAAAACGTATTATCTGAAGGCACGAAAGTGCCCCTGCCAAGTTGAGCAAAAAAGGACGTAAAAGTAACATCATTTTTCGAAGTCATTCAAGACATTTTCGACTCCCCTGTAATTTTGTTGTGGATAAAGCTAAAAGCCTGATTTTTCAGTGACTAAGAGGACATATTATAACTAGGTATATTCCTAAATTAAGATAATAATATTTTTTTGCGCAGAACCTTGATTGTTTTTCTAAGGTAAATGTAGCCTTAGTTACTCCTTACAACATCAATTATCTGCTAGTGAAAGTCCTGTTAAATCGATCTAGCCGTTTCGGAGATTAGCCGGAACAAACAGACAGACAGACAAAAATTTTAAAAAGTGTTTTTTTCTTATAATATACCGTATATATTTTCATATGCATTATGTAAAATACTATTATTTTGACATTACAAACAGATACTTCAATTGTATTTATCTGCATAGATATACGAGTATGTTATGTTCCTATAAAAATACTTTCTTTTTCAGATTCTGTCGGCACTCTAAGAAGAACGACGTCGTACGTTCTAAAAGAACCCAGAGAGAAAAAACATGTGCAGATAATTGCGTAGAAGAAGCCATTAGATTTTATACTTACATCATACACATACACACATACATCAAAATTAAATAATAACTGTACAGATATATTAAAAGTTACTGTAAATGTCATTTTAATAAAAAAAAATCATCTTTCCTGTTTATATTTTTTGTTATGTCGCAAAAATGTTTGTTTTCTAAATATTTTTAATGTAATTTCTATTAATAATTGATAATTATGACAAAAAATCAATTAGCGTGTGAAGTTATTAATCCGTACAATCTAACGAAGACGTCTAGACCATAGAGTAACATACATAGAGATGTAAAGATGTAAAATGTGATGCCCCGATAGAAAGAGACAAAGAATGACAGACTCCTTTCTATCTCCTTTTATTTTATACGTTTAAAACTGTAAGTGATAAATTAAATACCTTAAAATATAGAATTACAATGTACTGTAATAAATAAACCATTTTTGGTGGGCAATAAGAATTGTGCGTTTAAGTTATATTATATGTATAAACAGGGCCGGATTATGCATAAGGCACTTTAAGCGACTGCCTAGGGGCCCGCATCGGCTAGGGCCCTCACGTATCGAGTTTTTTTTGAAAATATTTGAAAATTTCTATGAAATCTACCTAATAGCGTAATTACGAATATAATTGCATTGTGATAGAAAAAATGTTCTATCAATAAGTTAGAATAAGATGAAGGGCCCCCGAGAATTGCGTTGCTTAGGGGCCCCCGGCATGGTTAATTCGGCCCTATATATAAAAAACGAAATAAAATTTAAGTTCATAAACTATTATCTTAATTTATTACAAAAACTAAAATATTTTTTATATAAATTTTATGCCTCGTTAATTATTGTGCATTTCTTTTAATTTGAGTTATGTGACATATAAAGTCTACAAATGCGCATGCGTCATGTAACAGATATAGAAACTAGGCAGATATTTTCTATCTCTTTCCTCCACGCCTTACCACCACTTACAGCACTCAATGGCAGTTGCCTATTCTATGTATATCTCTATGGTCTAGAATCTAGATCTATTTGATCTATCTAGACTCTAGATAGATCAAATAGGTTGACAAACAGAGGAGGAAAAGGTACTGAATGTTTTGTCTTTGTCTATTTATATATACGGCAATGGAAGGTTTTTGTTCTTGACAGTACTTGCGTAAGGTCAATTTCATACAAGTGCAAATAAAGTGAGTTATTTGATTTGTTTAAAGATAATCATTAATCGTGTTCATTATAAAAAAGTGTTCTTCAAATGTAAATATTTTTAGAAATAATATTATTTATACTTAATAGTATTATGATAATAACTTATTTAAAATGTAAAATAAAAAAAAGTGCCAAAGGAGTTCTCAGAGATAAGATATATTCCCGCAGTATAAAGTGATAGATGGTTATCTGGGTCAACATGTTATGTTGACTGATATGGGTATGTTGACCCAGATAACCATCTATCATCATACCGAATTTCATTAAAATCCCTCCAGTGGTTTTTCTGTGATACGGTCACAGGACGGACGGATAAAAATTCTAAAAACTATAGATTCGGCCTCTATATCGATAATAATGTCTATTTGAATAAGATTTTCCAAAAAATATTTAATGTACAGATTCGACTTCGTTACAATTTTATTATATGTATAGTATAGATGTCAGTAAAAACAGAGAGAGTATTAGAATTTTATAATATTATTCATCATCCTACTATTTTTTGTTTTGTTTTTTTTTACTTCCATGAGAATAAAGATGGCGTGTTAATGACAGATTATAAAAATTGAAATAAAATCACCAACATTATTAGAAGCTAGATACATTAATCATTGCATAATTTTTTATCTGTATTTACCATATAGTATTACTATAGTAAATGTTTAGAATATATGTATATAGAGAGGGCAAGAAAAAGGAGAGAAAGATATTTTATTTTCTTTAAGAAAGAAAATGAAATGTCCTTATAATTAATTTTATTTAACATTTCCTATTAGAGAGTTAAACAAAAAGAAGTTTTAAAGGAAAATTGATGTTTTATTAGCAATTTTCTGACAAAATTTCTTAATACTAGCTTGTCTCGCTGTACACAGATTCTTATTTATGGTCATATCCCACGGAATCGATGATAATGATGGTGATGGTTATAATGATAATGATTATGATGATAATGACAATGATGATGATGATTATGATAATGATACTCTCCATTTTGCCTATAACTTGCCTCTTCTATATATTATACGATGTAAAGCTAGACAACTATAAAATAGTCTCTATACAATATAGATTAAAAATTTTATACCTAAATATAAATGTATGTAGGTGAAGAGTTAATTTATAATATATATTTATGGGTGTAAATTATCTAATATATAATATATGCAAAAGTAAAATTCTATCAAAATCTGTTCATAATATAAGTTTTAATAATGTAACAAAATAGCTGTTGGTTTTTGTAAATGCAATTTGTGTATATTAAATATGTAATTTATAAAAATAGTATTCGAGAAAAATATTTTTTTTCTTTTATTCATAAAAATAAAAATATGTAAGTATATTATTATAGCATTCTGGCAGTGTTTTTATAAGTTTTAAAATTTGCTTTATTGTATTTAATTGTAAGGACTAAATGTATTATTTTAAATCTTCTCTTAGCTATTAAATTACTTAAAAATGTTGGATATGCTCTAAATATTTTTTTTCGGGGAGAAAAAAAGGTGAAAATATAAATTATTTCAGACTACGTAAATAGTTGAGGTTTTGTATACTGGTATTTCAATAACTACTTAAATCATGAGAAATTTGAAATTTTCGAACTCTGCATACTTCACTTCGCCTACGACAGTTAAATTCATATCGTATTTTTTCGTACGCCAGCGCCATCTATTTTCAGCATACAGGTGGTACTTTTACAACTTGCCTCCCATATAAGAGACTCCTCCTTACCTCTACCCTCCATAGCATTGCATCAGCTACCTGTGACGTTACTTGTTTGTCGACTCAATTGATTAACTATTGATTCAACGCAGCTAAAAATTAATTTTACAGTTAATCGAAAATTAAACGAGTTTTTGGGCTAAAATAAAGTGTACTTTTAGAGAAGTTGTGTCTTGAAATTATTGGTAAATTGTATCAACAACTAAAATAAATAGGTATTTTAGTTTGGCCTATTTTGACTATATATCCATGTGGAAAGTTATCGCAGTCAGTTTGCAACCAGCACAAACAATTCATAAAATGCAAATAGCGCCATCTATGAATACGCAGTACAAACTTATTAACTCGGGGCTTATGTTTTCATCATCAGAAAAATTGTATTATTATGGAGTAAAAAAATATAATTTAATTACTTTAGCTTAGAATTTTTTAATTAGAGTATAATATAAACACTTCACAGATAGATTTATATTTTTTTTACATATTATGTATTACTAAAAGTCCATACATATTACGCCATCTATTGACATTTATTTGATCTATTTTTCTTCTTTTTACATAAAATAGCAAAGGAAACTTATGAGGGGACTATGTTCCAGGTTTTTATTGTAAAACATTAAGTATACAAATACCAATTAATTGTTTCTAAAAATGTTAGCTAAGAGACGATTTTGAATATATTATGTTTTGTTTATCAATCAACTATATGGAAAGCTAGTCGTGTATTCCTTACGTCATAAAAAATTTGTAGAGATTTAATATTTAAATAAAGCTGAAAATTATTTTGTCTTCTCTATACAGAAATGTTACTATATATTGTTATTTTTTTAAATTGTCCTACATTTTTTGCCAAAGAAAAAGTAGGTAACAGTAATATATATATTTTTTGTAGTTTCCTATCACACCTCCATGGATAGACTGCAGAAATTTTTGTAGACCTTGTGCCCATGTAACTTAACATGTCTGTATTTTTTTTCATAAAAAAAACGGAATTAAATATACATTAAATATTTTGTACAAACAGATAGACCCAAGGCAGGGTGTAAAAGTTTTGCAGCATTTTCCAACAAATGATTTATGATTATATGATTGCATGACAGCTAAAGTTTTACACAATTTCAACATAATGTATTAGTATAACTGTGTGGCTGTGTGACTAAGTGGCTAAAAGCCATAACACTACAAACTTTCCAAACTTAACTCGTTTGGGAGATGAATTTTCAAAAATCAACCTTAGAGTTCACCTTCACTCTATATGGAATTATGTACAAAATGGCACATTTCTTAAAGCCTTATTAAATAGTCAGAATTCAAAAAAATATTCTAAGTACTTCTTTCAAATTTTCTTTCAAAACTTTTTGGTTTTAATGATTTCATTGGGAGTTCAAAACACGAGCATATTTTTATGACGTAAGAAATTTTAGAATATGTAAATAATCTATATATTTATATAATATTTTATATCAACGAAAATAGTTTATTGATGTTTGTTTTATATACAGTGTGTTGTGGAAAATTGATTTGCATTAAAAAGAATGTTAATGGTATGTAGTGGTTTTATTTTAGGTTAATTGATACCTGACTAAAGCACTAATCCAAACACTACTAGTACAGATCCCCATCCCATACAAACAAATTGGACAGGCTTTTCTTCGGGATATTTTTGTGTCCTTAAAAAGATTATAGATGGCGTTGATCCATAAACTTTCGAACAATTTTTTTATAAATGTATAAAAACACAGCAAAATTCATTTTGCGTTTAATTATTGGACTTTTAGTGAGCTTAGCCGTTTTCAATCAAAAACACTAATGCAGACAGCGCCATCTAGGTATACGCAGCATATTAAGTATCGATAATATTATGGAAATTTCTTTTAATGACACGTTATTTATTTTTCCTTTGCTAAAAATGCTCTACAGATTTCCAAAAGTCGTATATTTTTTATCTTTATCAGACTGTACTGTAGAACTGTAGAAAAATCTAAACAGCAAAACGATACATGTAGCACCATCTATTGACATTTAAATGAACAAATCCTTTTTTATTTCGATGAGATGAGACATGTATTCTTATATAATAGAAATGTCTCTAGTACAGAGTAAAAAGAATCATCGAGTCATATGATTTCATATGAAATCGTCTGAAAAAAAAGTTGCTGGCCCGTTTTAGATTGTGCTCTACCTTTGAGGTACTGTTCCTTAGGACCCCAAAGAACAAAATATACGCTTATTAGATTTTTTTATTATTTATCCGAAGTCTTTCAAGAAAATGTAACTTTATGATTTATCAATTTTACCTGTAAAAAGTTTACTATTCAAGCACTTACGGAAAGACGCAGACATCGACTTTGTTTTATATTTTTCAAGGATAAACAATAAAATTTCGTGTTTTAAATTTTTCCATTTATTCGTTTAATATTAGATAAGACTGAAATGACTTATAATAGCCCTAAAAAACTTATATGCCCACAAAAACATGAAGAATATTAAACTTTAATTATTTTAAACACGCTGTATATAAAAAGTGACATCTTTTAGTTAGTTCATTTATAAAAATTAGGTCTAAGTCTATTTAAAAAACCCTCTAAGAGGATTTAAAGCCTAAATTACAATTTAAAGGGCTTAAATTTATTTCGAAGACGAAGCAACTCGCTTATTTTATTCGACGGCAGCACATTGTACCTTAGAAACTCTGGGGATATTTCCTGGAAAACAAAAAAAAAAATCTTTGAAACATCTATTTTAATTTTAAAAATCTATTTAGAGACACACCATATTCTTTAAATTTTTGTCACTCTTCAGTTATTTGACGACACGCTTGGCTTAGTTTGTAGTGACCCTACTTGCTGTGCCAGCGGCCGTAGGTTCGAATCCCGCTGGGAGCATTTATTTGTGTGTGAGCAGAAATATTTGTGTTTCAGTCATGGGTGTTTATATTTATGACACGAGTATGTATTTAAAGTTATATATGTGTAGTGTATCAACTATCTGGTATCCATAACACAAACCTCGTAGCTTACCATGGAACTAGATGGCGCTGTGTGTTAATGTCCCAACATCGAATCAAATTGTCATCCCTATTCATTCATTTTTTATTGTTCCGAATATATAAGACAGCTAGTTGTTAAACTTAGCAATATAGATGTTATACTCTCTGAGGAAATACGCTGTTATATATGGACAGACGGATATAACGAAATTATAAGAATTTAATTTTTTCCTTTGTTTACGAAATTGTAAATTGTAATTGTAGTATTAAAGCCTTAGTGATCATGTGGCTAGCATGTCCGCTTGCAGGCTCAGAGGTCTTGGATTCGAATTCCGGGTTGGGACAAGTTTAGTTATTGAGCACGTACTCGTAATCTTTCATAGAGATTTTCACGTTATCTTTCATTGAAATCGATAAAGAGGACATTCTTAGTAGTTAATACTAGCTTCTGGTCGTGACTTCACTTACACGTATATAATATATTTTATTTTGAAAGTAGTACAAAATGAAAGTAAACGCCACAACTTCCATGTACTCTGGTATTTTTATACTGAATAAAGACATGAAACAGATTTTAATCTATACATATAATAAAATTTTAACTGAGTCGAATCTGTACATTAAATATTTTTTAAAATCTTCATCATATTCGGCCTGCTTTCGTCCACTGCTGGACATAGGCCTCTCCTATGGCACGCCACTGAGGTCGATCTTCAGCTCTACGCATCCAACCACTGCCAGCCAGTTTACGTATATCGTCACTCCACCTAGCTGGAGGGCGTCCTACACTACGTTTGCCAAGCCGTGGTCTCCACTCTAGAACCCGTCTACTCCATCGGTCATCGGTTATGCGACATAATTCGTTGGCTTACTATTTATATTACAAGGTTCTATGTTAATTTTGATAAAGTTTCGTAATTTTTACATAGAACTTCGTTATTTTGTTATCGTAAAAAAAACAACGTAGAACTATGTAAAATCGAATATTTTGTAGTTAAAGTGCCGCTATCTAGTGGTTTGTTTTTGCAAAACTGTAGCTAATGACTTAGGACCTTGTAGCATTCATAACTAAATAAGTACTAAAGTTGTAACATAGAACCTTGTAATAGTGAGCCAACGCTATGTGACCAGCCCACTGCCACTTCAACTTGCTAATTCTTATTTGAATGGAAAATGGAAAATCTTACATTACATAAATTATTTTGTATGATTGATTTTTTTTAATATAACTAGTGTTGAGTTATGTATAAATACCAGCGATTCACCATTGCTGTGCTCATTTTCGTACGATACGTATTACCATAGATAGTACTATAGATAGATAAGTTTTGCGTTTAGTATAGATTTCTCAGAGATGAGACATTTTCCCGCAGTAAAAAGTATCCTATATGTTGATCCGGATAACCAGCTATCATCATACTAAATTTCATCAAAATTTGTCCAGTGGTTTTCTCCTGATGCATTCCCGACAGACAGACAAACAAAAATTCTAAAAACTATATATTCAGCCTCTGTATCGATAATAATGACTATTTCAATTAGATTTTCCAAAAAATATTTAATGTACAGATTCGAATCAGAATTTTATTATATGTATAGAATATTTTATATTTACCTCAGCATCTTTTACATTATGTCTTCCGCCATATACCCTGCCACGGTTGCCATGGTTTCTTTCGTCATAGCGGTCATCTTCCGCTTCAGTGCTGTCACCGTGAGTTCCTGACTGCTTTTGAATTACTATACATCTGTATACATTCAAATAAAAACATTTATGAGTTTTTGTATGTATGTATGTCTTTTATTCAATATTCCACTCTTTGAGAAAATAATTGCATGAAAATATATAAAAAATGTTCACTAGACCTAGTTAAAGGTTCTTAGTAAAATAAAACTAACGACTCACCCCCATCTCATTTGAGTGCGTCCCTAAATGTTTTTTTCTGCCTTAAAATACGCTATACTTTCTTAGATTTACGCGAATATTTGTCAATTTTTTATATTTCAGATTTTTTTGCGGATTTATTTTGATTTTTGGTTTCCGACGTTTCGAATACTTTACAGCGCACATGGTCACGGGAAATACTAAGGTTTTAGACGTCTCAAAGGTCGTGTACTTGTTAAAAAAGTACATCGAAACTTGATGCAAATTTTAGCATTAGCAATAGCCTATGTCCTATTCCAGGTCATACTTAGTCACTAAATTTGATCTAAATCTGTCCATCGTTTTCAGCGTAAAAAAGTATCAAACATACACACAATTTTTTTTTTATATAGGTATATTAATTATTTGCATAATAGTGGTGTAATTAATTATTAAACCTTCAAATATCGACAAATAAATTAGACAATGAATTCTGTCATTTCAATTTCATTCATTTAGTTCTAACACGTCTTTCGAAATCTTTAGAGGTTGCAGATATCATTAGGCTCAATTTCTAATACACTTTTTTTACTATGATGTAGTTTTTTATAAGAGAAAACTCCACATAATATTAATTAAAATTAAACTTTAAGCTGACTAAATTTGAAAAAAATCATGTCTTTATATGAGGCTCTTTAACTTTTAGCTTCGCTCAAGTTCGCCCCTAAGTTAATTCCCTATACAAACTTTCATCCAGATTTCCGCCCCTTTAAGGGATGATGTCTGGAATAAAAAATATTCTATATCCTTCCCAGGGTCTTAAACTACCTTCTTACCAAATTTAATCTAAATCGGTTCAGTAGATCCAGAGATTACCCTATACTTTTTATTCCGGAAATCATCCCTAAAGGGGGTGAAAATGGTGATAAAAGTTTGTATGGGGAATCAAGCTAGGGACGTGAGTCGCTAGTAGTTATATAATACAGTTAAAGAGTATCTTAAAACCATCTTACCGCTTTTGTCTCGATAGATTTCCAGCATTTATTAGTTCAAGTGAAATAACAATGAAAAATATGAATAGAGCTTTAAAGCGGCACATTTTGAAATAATATTTTTTTACACGAGCTATCTTTTATATACTCGCATAGATAAGTTAGCTATATATAAATAACTTTGCTAGCAGTGTTTGTGGGTTGAATTTTACACTAACATAAATAGTTAAGTTAGTTTGTGTGTAAGCGATAATTTCTAGAACTTCTATATCAAGATTTTTTTTTGTTTAGAAACCTACAGTGCCTATAACATTACTGTTGCATATTTTCCATAAACGAGCTATGATAACATATTCGCGAACGAAAGCTAAATAATTATATTGTTTCAACTAAATTAAAAATTAAAAAAAACCCTACCTAAATAATTGTCATTTAACGACTACACTGGCACGCGTGAAGCGCTTAATCGAGTAATCATACGCCAAAATGCCTTACATCATTTTGGAAACGAGCTGATACTCTTACACTGCTGGACCGATATTAACTAAACATAGCTAAAAACCACACAAACTGGCTTTCAAATGAAAAAACCGCATCGAAATCGGTCCATCCGTTTGACAGCCACGATGCCACAGACACACACACACACACACACACACAGACAGACATCGACGTCAAACTCCTCAAACACCTCTCTTTGTGCGTCGGGGTTTAATAAAACATATAATTTCGTATTTTTGTAGCGGATTCATTCTGCCTTTTGGTTCACGGCGTTTCGAATGCTTTACAACAATCTTGATATCGTCTGATAGGTTATTATGTCGTTACACACAGTATCTATGCATTACTATACAATTATTTTAAAGAAATAGAAAAATGACAGCAAACTACCATAAACAAATCTCAAATTGGTGTAAATCTAAGGAAAGTATTATAATTTAATATATTTTTAAAACTTAAACTTAAAAGCGACTTACCCCCGCTTCGCTCAGGTTTCCTATTTTTATAAAATACTAGCATTGCCCGCGGCTCCGCCCGCGTTCAGATGACCAAAAACCAAATTACATATTAGTATACTCTTACATTGCAGTTTTTGTATTTTTCCTCAGAAATGAGATATTTTCTCGCGGTAAAAAGTATCCTGTATGTTGACCCGGATACACAGCTATCACCATATCAAATTTCATCAAAATCCCTCCAGTGGTTTTTCTGTGATACGGTAACAGACAGACAGACAGACAGACAAAAATTCTAAAAACTATAGATTCAGCCTCTGCATTGATAATAAAGTTTATTTCAATAAGATTTTCCAAAAAATATTTAATGTACAGATTCGGCTTAGTTACAATTTTATTATATGTATAGATCACAGCGCCATCATTGGCAAATTTTGTTTCTAACAATAGCCTTCGCTACTCCAGCTAATAGTGTAACAAGCATACACACATATATACAGTACATTTGTAGCTTTAACTCTCACCGGTCGTGTCGAGCAGTCGTCCCACCGGAGTACGAGAGTGACAGGAACAGAGAGTGCACGTTGTGTCTGCGCGTACACTTGTACACAATAATATCTCCTGCGCAGTTGGCTAGTCTCAATGAGATTGGCCGCCGTGGCCGGAATCGGCTAGTAGAACATCATCACATTTGTAACAGTATTGTGATTATCGCCTAGCTTCAGCACTGCCGAGAGTAAATAATGTGCAGTATCCATATCTTTCTTTGTTCTCCTTTCACAATGGAACAGAGAGATGCATTCACGTGATTATTTTTAAGAAGATTTTTATAATGAGGGGGCTGGATTTATCATAGGGAAGCCTTTATTTTCTGAGCCTTTATCATAGGGAAATATTTCCATTTTATGGGAAACACGTTAGAATAATAGGAAATAATAATACTAAATATGTTTAGACATTAACACACAGCACCATCTAGTTCCATGGTAAGCTACGAAGCCTGTGTTATGGATACCAGATAGTTGATACACTACACATATATAACTTTAAATACATACATATCTATACATTAGCTTCGTCTGGGTGGGAAAATTTGGTTCACATTTTCATGCTATTTTCATTTTTTTGCGCGGAGCCCTAATTCTTTTTCTAAAATAAAAGTAGCTTAAGTTACTGCTCATAACTTCAACTCTCTGCCAGTGAAAGTCCCGTCAAAATCGGTCTAGCCGTTTCGGAGATTAGCCGGAACAAACATACAGATAGACAAAAATTTTAAAAATTGTTTATTTTTATAAGTACCGTATGTACTATATAATTTTATATGCATTTAGTGAAAAGCTGTTATTTAGATATTACAGACAAACTCAAATTTTATTTATTTGTACATAGCATATATAAATATGATATAAATAAGTAATTCCATACGATTTTGTAGTTTTAAAATGTTGTAACTTTAGTTAGCGATAGAATGCGGGTGTCATTATATGATATGCTGTTCAAACATACTTTTTCTATGGACCCTGTGGTACAGTGGCAGTGAATCTGCCTTAAATTGTTAATAGAGATGGTCGCCAATTTGATTTTAGCAATGTCCTTATATTACTAAAATTAAAGCGTTTATTTAATGCACTTTGTAGTAAAACTTGTTACTTACCCTGGATTCGCTCGGGTTCGTTCTTAGGTGGATATGCGACTTCACATGATTGTCATATGAAATTATCAGAAGTGCGAGACTCGGGATTTGAACCCGCTTCACTTGGTTTCCCGAGCGAGCCGCTTAGTAGCTATTCAGTAGCTTTAGTGTTATCAATAAAAAAATTGGAAACAGATTTTTATATAGGTAAATTTTATTCATATATGATTTCCTCAAATTATCAATTTACTAAAAATATACCTATTAAGAAAACAACGCGAGCAAAGCCGCGGGTAAACGCTAATAAACAAATATAAACAAACATTAAGTAGACGACTGTTCAAACAATAATTTTTGAGATTTCGCAAAATATCATAGTAAATATAAGAGGAACCTACGATTTAATACAATTACTACTAAATGAGGGGTCTAATTATAATAGTCAGGTATTAATGAATCTTTAATTCCACGGGTCAGAGTGCAAATGAGTTGTCAACGCTCGAAGATAAGGACGCGGTAAAAGTGTTGTAACCGCAAAATTATATTAATAATTATAATTTGTATGTTGTTACTCTTTCACTGCCTCGGTGATGTAGTGGCTAGCAAGTACGCCTGCACATCGAAAGAGTCCCTGGATTCGAGTCCCGAGTCGGGTCAAGTTTAGTTATTGAGTATTTCTGTTTAGTAAGTTGGCGGTGTCACTATCATGTCTCGGAAAGCACGTAAAGCCATCGATCCTGCGCCTTAACTCTCACTGGTCGTGTCTCGTGTTGTTTCACCGGAGTATGAGAGTGACGGGAGTAAAGAGTGCACGTTGTGTCTGCGCTCTCCCTCACACGCACTGCACTATAATACCTCCTGCGCAGATGGCTAATCTCAATGAGACTGGTGCCAAGTCGGTCGGGAGATTATTACTCTTTCACACTGAAACGGTTGTACAGATTTAGATGCAATTTAGTATAGAGTAGAATATGACCTTTTTAACGTTGAGAAATAAATTTGGGCATGTCACCTACATACGGTATAGGTGGTTATGTGGGACTCACCAGCAATACCGGTTTTAACCTTAACACCGCTCCTGGTAATTGGGCGGAATTTTTTACCGCAAATTTTGAATAAAATGTTGAAAATTTGAATTTTTTTTAATTATAAATTCTTTGAAAAATGTAAATAAATAATTTATAAATTATAGATTATAATTTTACGAAAAATGTACCTACTAGTTTTTTTTTATTTTAATTTTTTTGTAAAATTAAAAGCATTTTCGATAACTCGAACAAAATTTTTTTCCCGCCCCCCGAATTTTGCCGCACTGAGCACTAGCCCTGAGTGCACCTTGTGTAAATCCAGCGCTGCTCACTAGCAAAGTAAGTACTATTCACTAAATAACGCACGAAGTGAGAATGAATTTAACTAATATATAATTATTAAGTGTTTATAATTTAGATAAATATTAAAAAAATAAAAAATGAACTATAATAGAGAAGAAAATATATAATAAATAAAAAAAATAAAAATAAAATACTATTTACTATTTTGGCAACCCTTAGAAAGGGGATGTAAAAAATTAAATATCAGGCACTTGTGTGTGATTTTATTCTATTACATCGCAATTATAACGAAAGTTTGTATGTGTGGGTATGTGTGAAATGCACTCGTCGCAAACGAAAGCAAGACTAGTTAATAAAATAAATATGTGAAGTATACAATATAAAAATAAACAAATAAATAAATTTAAAAAATATTTATTTCTGGAGTTACAACACTTTACTCGCAATCGAGTAAGTTCGAGGAATTATTCAAGCGTCGGTCGCCTGAGATGTGACTGTGTTATAATTTTTATTAAGTAAGTGGATATGTGAAAGAATTGCTAAAACTCCATCAAAAACGGTATATAGTGAAATATTCTATATCAGAATTTCTAATTTAGTGTCAAATTAAGAGAGTTTTGCTTGAAAAGTGTATTTTGTCAGTGTTATAGAAAAGGTAAAAGTTGAACTTTTGGTTGAGTTATATGTAGTTTTTTCGGTTTCGCTTTTGCCTTTATGGAGAAAACAGGGACTTCTATGCCCGATTTCACCAACAACCCATAAGCTACCGCCTACGTATGGGATCCCTAGCTTAAAAGTCCCCTAAACTAGCTCCTAAATTAAATTTCGTTTTACGATAGTCTTTATTAAGCCCATATTTCGAGCACCTAAATTTAGGGGGCCTTTTAATTTTTAGGTGACCCCTAACTGTCGGTGAAATAGAAACTGTCCCCTAAAAGCCCCCTAACCATGCTTAGGGGAACCCTTAAACTTAGGTGACGTTGGTGAAATCGGGCACTAGTGTACCTATTCTCTGAGTTCGACGTTATATGAATATGTTGAATGTTAATAGTCAATTTGGTTCTACGCCTTAAGCGTCAGGATCAAAAAAATTATTAAACTGTGTGTGCTGTGTGTTGATGTCCCCACATATTTATTTACTAGTATTGCCCGCGCCTTCGCCTGCGTTAAGATGACCATAAACCAAA